TCTGTTTTAGTATTTAATTTAATTCAGACTAAATATATAATTTTGTCTTTTTAACCCAATATTCGATCACAAGTATTTTCCTGTGTAATTTGAAATTTTTTGTAAGTTTCATTAGGTGGGGGTAGACAAGGACATTGTTTTGTTGACTGCTGTTTCCTTAACATAAAGGAAAGCCTGGCATATTGTAGAGGCTCAATACATGTTTCCTGAAAGTATTGAAGAACGAATGAAGAAAATGGCTGCTCCCTCACAGAACGGGCTGACTGCCGGGACTGGGAAAAGTGAATTTCAGAATCAGAAGTCAAAGGTAGAGAACTGAGATGAATCAGAGCTACTTACTGTTCCTGATGGTTGGAAGGAACCAGCCTTTTCCAAAGAAGACAATCCCGAAGGACTCTGGGAAGAGAGCAGTTTTGCAACCTTATTTCCAAAGAATAGAGAGGCTTACTTGAAATAGTGTTGGCCTTTGGTGCAGAAAGCATTGAATGAACATCATGTTAATGCAACCTTGGACCTGATCGAGGGCAGCATGACTGTTTGTATTACAAAGAAGACTTTTGATCCATACATCATCATTAGGGTCAGAGACTTAATAAAACTATTAGCAAGGAGTGTTTCATTTGAACAGGCACTACGAATTCTTCAGGATGACATTGCATGTGACAACATCAAAATAGATTCTTTGGTAAGAAATAAAGAACGAGTTGTAAAAAGAAGACAACGGCTTATTTGTCCCAAAGGATCTATATTGAAGGCATTGGAACTCTTAACAAGCTGTTACATTATGGTTCAAGGAAACACAGTTTCAGCCATCAGACCTTGTAGTGGATTAAAGGAGGTTTGAAAAGTAGTCCTAGATACTATGAAGAATATTCACCCAATTTATAACATTAAAACCTTAATGATTAAATGAGAGTTGGCAAAAGATTCTGAATTACAATCACAAAGTTGGGAAAGATTTTTGCCACATTTCAAACACAAAAATGTGAATAAACGCAAGGAACCAAAGAAAAAAACTGTAAAGAAAGAGTATATGCCATTCGCACCACCACAGCCAGAAAGTCAGATTGATAAAGAGTTGGCTAGTAGTGAATACTTTCTTGAAAGCTAGTCAGAAGTGACAGAAGATGGAAGCAATAAAGGCTAAACAAGCAGAATCTCTCAGTAAGAGACAAGAGGAAAGAAACAAAGCTTTTATTCCACCTAAAGAAAAATCAGTAGTGAAACCTAAGGAAGCTTCTACTGATACTAAAATTGATGTGGCTGCCATCAAGGAGAAAGTTAAGAAAGCAAAAAATAAGAAACTGGGAGCTCTTACAACTGAAGAAGTTAAGCTTAAGATGGAAGCAGATGAAAAGAAAAAGAAGAAAAAAAAGTAATATACAAAACCCTCTAAACTAGAATATATGAAGCTATCTCCTTTTGTAAAGGATTTTGAGACATCAGGGCATTAACTGCCTTACTCATGAGTAATAATACTCTTTATTACTTTCTTCTGTTTTTGTTGTTGTTGTTCTTCATAGAGCAGTATTCTTTATAAATATAAATTATTGTATTTTATATTTTTCTAAAAAACAGAAATCTCCCTGCTTACAAATTACACCTTGTGTACATTAATTACAGCTAATCAGTTCTAGATAGATTTTGCCTTAGCATGAATTTAGGAGTGATTTTTTAGATTTTTTTTTACATGTAGATCTTTACAGTGTGACTGTTATCTGTTAAGTCCAATGTCTGATGCCATTTATTAGTCTTTAAATGTTACTTTTTAGTGTTTGGTTTTGAGGAAAATAAATGCATATTTTTTAGTGTTAAAAAGAAGAATGAATGAATAATGGATACATTATTAAAATTTTGCTATTATATGAACTAGATTTAAATATTTATTCTTGGAAATTTTGCTTGTTTCTTTTTTTCACTACTATAAATTATACTTTAGGGAGTATTTTTATGATATTAAGATTGATGAGTGTTTTGGTTAAATGTGGCTGTGTAACTAGTGAGGCCAATATTTGTATTTGGATTATTTCTTATTCATTCCACTTCTTTCTACTGCAAATCTATCCTGGTTTAAGGACAAGACTGATTTAAAATATAACGTCATGAGTTCTGGAGTCAGGCAAACCAAGTTTGAACTCTAACTTTGGCAAGTGACTTCAGGTCTCTGAGTTATTTTTTTCTCACCTGTAAAATGGGGACGAGATAATCAATGTCAGGTGTTGCACAGTGCCTAAATTAATATTAGCTATTTCAACATCATTGTTGATTTAAGATTTTATTTCTTTGTACTTTTTACTTAAAATAACTGCTACTTGTGTATCAATTGGTAGACTTTGAAGACTGGGAGATACATGGTACGTGGCATTCTATAAATGCCTCCTTTTGCTGCTAGAGGGTCCTGACTTCAAACAGGTGCCTACTTGCTCCCAAGCCAACCAACAGAGCGGATACTTTTCCCATGGCATTCCTTTTGTTAAACTTTGTGCTTCAACTCTTTCATCCCTCTGGACCTCACCACTAGTTCCAACTAGTTCAATGCAGGAAAAAAGGGTGTGTGAGTTTGGGCATAATGACTTATAAATAAAAATTACTTCCTAGTATTGTCAGGGTTTTGTGCATATCTGTTGGCTCTGTGAGAACTGCTGGCTGTGACATCTTTATTTTGTTTAATTTCCCATAGGGCATGTGTACCCATGCATGAGAGAGACAGACAGAGAGAGAGAGAGAACCCCCAAGGGGAGATGGGCATACTGCAATCCCGTCTTCTCCATTCTCCTCTTGGGATTTGGGACATGAATGCACACATACCTGGATTTATTTTCAAGCTGCTGGGTCCAGGACTCAAACGGTGCAGTTGGTCTTATGAGATCCAGCTGTCTTAATCACCATGCCACTAACTGGCCTCATATTTGCTTCTTAATACATGATTTACAGTAACTATTTTTTGGTAAGATTTGCCTAAGGGCCAGAGAGAGGGAAAGGGAGAAAGCACACTGCGGTTGGGCATGGTCATGTTACAATCCCTTCTCCTCTGCTTCCCTGTTCTGTCTGGATTTTGGGCACATATACAAATGCTACCTGTGTGCTTTTAGCTGCCAGGCCTAAGATCTGAACCACAGAGTCAGTCATGTGGGATGCAGCCCCCTTAATCACTAGGCCATGGGGCCAGCCCTACCATAA